CGAGCCGGCGGCGAGGGTTCACGTGAGCTCAGCCGTGCCGGTGGCAAGGCCCCTGGGGGCAGGCCGAAACTCGGCCTCCCCGTGCCCGGCGAGGCAAGGGGTGGGAGAAGGGAACACACCCTGCTCCGCCGAAACGCGAGGGCGGGCCGGGCTGCGGTCTAACAGCGCGTGGCGCTGCCAAGCAGCAAGATGACTGCGGGCGGAAGGAAGGGTGCGAAGGTCACAGCTACCCCACTGCAACTCGGCCAGGGCGCTTCGAAAGAAGGGCTTTCCTTGCGTGAAACGAGCCACGGGCTCTACAATGACCACAGCTGGCCAAGACCTCCTTGTACACGCTCCTGCCAAGACAGTCCCTGCGGCTCCGCAGAGCCCCCCGGCACGGGGCTGGGGCGTCACATCGCTGCGGAGTGAGGCGAGGACCACCTATTGCCATTGTAGAAAGCCCACGGCCAGGCCCCAGCTGGAATACTGCGTCCAGTGTTGGGCACCTTACCTCCGCAGGGATGGACAAATTCTGGAGGAGATCCAGAGAAGAGCTACTAATAGATATGGAGGGTCTTAGCTATGTTGATAGGCTGAAGAGCTTAAGCCCATTCAGTTTGGAGAGGAGGAGGAGGAGGCTACGAGGGATCTTCGCAGTGTGTGAGCACCTAAAAGGGGATCATAAAGACTCGGGTCAGGATCTACTCAGACTCAGCAGCAACAGGAAACAACCCCCAGAGACTCCTGGCAGCGTCCCCCCCACCCCGAGGTCTCGGTGGGTTTGGCCTGACAGCTCTGCTGGGGATCTGCGGGGCCCGCGCAGCACAGAGACCCCCACCCTCGGCGTGCCTTTGCCTCACTCACGTTTGCGAGCCTGCGCCTCGAACTGTGACAGGTTCTGCCGGGTTGCCAGCCTCACCTCCACCTTGTCCCCGTTGAGGATTTTGCCGGGCAGGAGCTCCAGGAGTTTGTGGACTGAGTTCTCAGAGGCAACCACCACCTCTGCGTACCTGTGGGAAAGCCCGGCCCCCAGCCAGCAAGAGCCAGCGCCAAGCGGTGCATCCCCTGCGAGGGGACAGGGACCCCCTGCCAAACCCCACGGGGCTCCATCCGGCCTCGCTGGCAGAGACCACCCAGCACCACCTCAGCTGAACCCAGCCTGGTGCTACATGGCCCCCCCATCCCTTTCCCACACGGTTTGGGAGTCTCCGCTTTACCATCCCAGCTCCAGGCAGGCTCTGCATCACCCGTGCCAACCAGGAAAAGCGCTGGCTGCCCCCTCACTCCCCCCACCCCCAGCACAGAGGATGTGGCCGTGAGGGCCTGGCTCTCCCCGTTCCCCCGTGTCCCCCTGGGGTCTCACCCTTTTGACTGGCCATTGGCTCGGTTCTCTGCGAATTTCAGCTCCACTACGTCGTAGACACCAACTGAGCGGATGGTTTGGATCAGCTGCTGGTCCGTCGTCCACTGAGGGAGAGAGGGGAGAGGCTGGCGTCAGCTCACGCAGCCCTTCGCAGGCCCTGGTGCCCCCCAGCTAACCCAGGCTCAGGGGGCTGGGGCAGCACTTGGGTACAGACACCCTCAGAGCCCCTGCAGGGAATCTAAAGTCAACCTTGAGTCTGAAACAGGCCCCGGGTACGGCTACCACAGGCGTCTCTGTTCTCCAGACACGACAGAGCCTTCCCAGAACCGTCCCTGTATCTGTCAACAGGAGGGGACTCGCCCGCGCAGCCCCCGAGAAGGCAGAGCCAGCAGCCGGCGCGAGGGAAGCACTACAGCCGCTGGCCAGCCACCCCAGCCTGGATCTGAAGCCCCTCAAGGCTACGAATCCCTTTTCCCTGAGGATCACAAGGTCAAGCCCAGCTCAAGACCCATCTTGGGACACTGGGTCAGCATGGATTGAGGAGGAACAGCACCCCCAAAGAGCCCTGCAGCCCCTCAGGGGTTTCCCTGGAGGACCCCCACACCTGCGTATGCACCACAGGAGACCCAAACTGGTCTGGAGACCCCCTCAGCAATCACGCACGGCCGAGCAGCCATCCCACTCACCCAGGAGAAGCTGCCCACGTAGACGGCGGCTCTCTTGTTGCGCAGCCCGCTGTAGGTGTACAGGATGGCGGGAGATTTGTTGTGGGGCTTGGGGGACGGCTCCTGGCGGATCTCCGGGGGCGCCTCCGAGCTGCTGGTGCGGCTCTCGGGGGGCTGCGAGCTGGCTGCTAACACGTCGTCGTACAGGTCCATCTGATCAGCATTACTGAACTCAGAGTCCTGCGAGGGGAGACACCGTGAGCACCACCACAGAAGGGAGACCCCGGGGGTGAAACCGCAGCTCGGAAAGGCACCCGCGGGCTGTTAAGAGCCTAAATGGGGCTCTGGAGGAGCTCCCCGTTCCGCTGGGGTCCTCCAACACCCCCCAGCACTGACCGTCCAGCAGAAGCCAAACACCACCCACCACAGGAGATGCTCAAAAGTCATCTCACGGTGCCGGTCTGCCGCGGGTGCCCCGCCGCGCCGGGGCAGGGGGTGCGGATGAACGACCCCGGAGGTTAGGAAGCCTCCTTCGCAGCCTGCAAACCAGTCGTCCCAGTTCACCGGGAGCTGGCACGCACGAGCTTTTTCGAGGCAGCACGAGCCGAGTCCAAAGGTTTAGCACCCAAACCACGCGTCTTTGCGTCCGTGGCGAGCTG